TATATTCTAGTATATATGTAACTGAGCTGGGTGCAGCCGCAGCACCACTAGCACACCCAAAATATATTCCACCGCAAGAGAGTCACCCAGAAGATATGCTCTACCACAGGGCCTTATTGAAAGACTACTCGGTACAACAGATTCTCTCTCCCAAAAGAGCCAGACTGAACTGAAAAAAACTTTGAAAACCAACTTCTTCTGAACTTGAACAAGAAATTATTGCTGCAATATTAAAATGTGTCATTTCATGGGACGTTAGGAGACAAGAGATGTCTCCAAATGGCTCGACACTCAGGTCCAAGTTTTAAAAACAGTGTCAGGAAGTTAAAATATTGTTCAATATTGACCCATTACAAGATTGAATAGACAGTATTTTAACTAGAGTTGATGACAAACTGGAGTTGAAATATCAGTGGAAATGATCAGAGACTATTTCTTTGTTAGTTGTGTCTAATGCTCCTTTTGTTCAGGCAGACAACTTTTACTTAAATGTTTTACTGCAGATAAAATGATACATGGGTTTTGATTTGTGTTAAATAAAAACTTTCAAAGGTATAATCATTCCTCTTTCATATTTTGATTAATGACATTTAACTCTGCATGTCATCCCTGAAATTCTGACGCACAGAATCACAAGTCCAAGAGTGAAGTGTGTCACAGAGTAAACACAATAAAAACATGTATTATCTGCAGCATTGTTCATTAAAATGGCTCAACACTATTAATGTATTATTACAGAAAATATACATATGGTACTGTTGTGGTTTGAATAACACGTCGTGTTCAAAACGGCTGAGGCGTCGCCCTTCATATAAAAGATTTATTTGACACAACATGGGTTACAGATATTCAGAGACAAACAATTACATTAATAAGATATATGCATATAAATGGAGCATTAAGAACGAACCGTCGCCATGTGGGCCTCCCGGAAATGCTCGGTGGGCGTGTGTCATTTCCGGCCTTTTATCCCCGTTTGAGAAGGCTAGCTTCCTGATTGGTTCAACTTCTGTCGCTATGGTTACGACTTAGCCCGCCCCCTCAAGGACGTTA